CCTCCCCCTGCTCCCACCGGTCGCAGCGCCGTACCAAGCCGCGCGCTGGCGTGACCTCATCCGAACAGGCAGACGACAAGAGTCGATCTCTCGCACAATCGATATATCGCGCGCCCAATCATCGATGAGCTCTTCTCCCTCGCGCGTTCCTTCCTCTAGCACGCCTGCGCCGCCGCCTTACCAGGTCGGGAGTGGAAGGCCGAGCGGTCCCCGTGTTGCCCCACGTGTCTCACTCACTGCCTAGAGTTCTGGGCCTCGTGCGGGCAGGGCTTAGGTGCAGCACGTCCGAACCGCTTCCGTCAGGACCAACAGGAGGCCTCTTGCCGGCCCAGGCTCTTCCCCGGGTGATCTTTGTGTTTCTGGTCCTTGCCCAGATGCTGTTGTGCCTCGGCCATCCCCTGCCCTTCTTCCCAAAGGCTCTGAGCCAGCGCTGTCACACCAGTTGGTGGGGCAGTGCCCTAGAGCGGGGTGGGAAGGGTGCAAAAAGCAGGTACCCCATAGAAGCATGCTCTGGCTGGCCAGAGGAAGGCAGCAGCGGGTTGCTGCCCCATGCTCTGGCTAGCCAAGGGAAGGCTGGAGCTGATTTCCCCGCTTACTTGGGAAACACGGGGGCATATCCACACCCTTGTGGCCCACATTTACAAACAAAGCATACACCCCCACAGAAATTCCTGCATAGGGGCCTGTAGAGAATCCCATTTGGACACACACAGCAACCAGGTGTGGAAGAACAGTCAGGAAAGGGCCTGGGTGAACAAGAGCAAGTTCCTGTAATGCTTTGAAAAATGCTGATACCATGCTGTGGTGTTTTAGTGGGAGTGCTGGATGTATACACTGATCATACGTCCCGGATTTTCTGACACTGTCCTGATTTTAAATACTCTGTCTCTGTGTCCCCATCAAGTAGTGAAATGTCCCAAAAAGCCCTGCTGGATATTTCACTACTTGATGGGGATACCAGCTTGCGGAAAGAATTGACCGAGTCCATGCACTGTCACTGCTCCTTGTGCAACGCCGCCGCAGCAGCAGCCTCCTCCCTATCTCCCCCCGCGCAGAGCGCATAGGCGGCTGCACTGGAGCTTTGCTGGCTGGGGCCAGCTTCTAGTGGCATGTGGTTTCTGTCACTGCCCACCCATGGGTTGGCACCTCATAAATTCACCCCTCTTGGAGCCAACACCCCTTCCTCTCGCCCAGGCAGCAGCTCTCACTAATTGCGCTTAAAGGGGCAGCGGCATGCACATCCCCTCCTGCATGGGCGCTCTTGTTTCTGGGTAGTCCCTGAGCCCAGCATGGCTCCCAGACAGGACAGGCACTTGCTCATGCTCAGTGCCTGCATGGTCACTTACTTTCTATCAGCCACCCAGTGCCCCACCACTGCACAGTGCCTCCCTCTCCCTGAGGGACTGCCTCTATCGCATGGGATCCCTGGTCTGGCCATGTAGCCTCCTTTTCCACATGTGCAGGGGCCGCTTGTTCTTTGTTCTTCAGGAACCAGGAGCTGATTGGGGTGGAAACCTCACCTGGGGAGAGATGTGAAATCTTTGTGGGATGGTGATACTGTTATGGGTTGCTTTGCTATGAATCTTTGTTAATAAGGTTATTAAGTTTCTGAAAACATCCACCCAGTGAAAAAAGCAGTCAAAAAAGCAACCAAAATGTTAGGAATCATTAAGAAAGGGATAGAGAATAAGACAGTATTTTATTGCTGCTATACATATTCATGGTACACCCACATCTTGAATACTGCAGGCAGAGATGGTCACCTCATCTCCCAAAAGGTATCTTGGCATTGGAAAAAGTTCAGAAAAGGGCAAAAAAATTATTAGGGGTATGTAACATCTTCTATACAAGGAGAGATTAATTAGACTGACTTTTCAGCTTGGAAAAAAAGATGACGGGGGGGATATGATAGAGGTCTATAAAAACATGACGGCTACGTCTACACTGGCCCCTCTTCCGGAAGGGGCATGTAAATTTCACGAGTCGTCGTAGGGAAATCCGCGGGGGATTTAAATATCCCCCGCGGCATTTAAATAAAAATGCCCGCCGCTTTTTTCCGGCTTTTAAAAGTAGGAATAAGACCCTCCGGAAAAGGGCACTTTTTCCGGAGGATCGGGGCCAGTCTAGACGCTCTTTTCCGGCTTTTTTAAAAGCCGGAAAAAAGCGGCGGACATTTTTATTTAAATGCCGCGGGGGATATTTAAATCCCCCGCGGATTTCCCTACGACGACTAGTGAAATTTACATGCCCCTCCCGGAAAAGGGGCCAGTGTAGACGTAGCCAAA